TAAAGCATATGCACATGCCAAATTACCTTTGAGGGGAAGCTATAAGGCACGCAACCTATTTACTGAACAGAATAGCAACAAGATCACTTGACAACCAGACACCATACGAGGTTTATCGACTGAAGAAACCAAACATCAGTCACTTGCGTGTTTTTGGCTGTGTAGGATATGCAAAAGTGGAAAACGTACACCTCAAGAAACTTGATGATAGATCCCGACTGCTTGTTCATCTAGGAACAGAACCTGGATCAAAAGCATATCGCTTATTGGATCCAAAGAATCAGAAGATCGTTGTAAGTAGAGATGTCGTATTTGATGAAACCAAAGGCTGGAATTGGAACAGAGATAAAACAGAGCATAATAGAGATTTCGAGGTTATTCTTGGAGAGTCTGGAAATCATGTTGTCAAAGGAGCTCATAAAGAAAGTAATCAAATCAAAAGCAATGTTCAGACAGAGGAAAGTGAGATCACAGAGACTTCTCAAGAAGAGAATATTGATGAAGACGTTGAGATAAGTGAAGACACAGAAGAACATGCACCATTAAGAAGAAGTGAGAGACAAGTCATGAGACCAAAATACCTTGAGGATTATGTTCTTCTAGCAGAAGAAGAAGGAGAAAAATTATTGATGGTTCTTAATGAGGAGCCGCAAAGTTTCGAAGAAGCAAAGGAGGTAAAGGAATGGATACTTGCTTGTGAGGATGAGATGCAGTCTATCATAAGAAACGAGACTTGGAGTTTAGTGGAACTACCACCAGGAGTGAAACCAATAGGTTTGAGATGGATCTTTAAGATAAAAAGAAACGCCGATGGAAGCATTAACAAGTACAAAGCTAGGCTGGTTGCAAAAGGTTATGTACAAAGGCATGGAGTGGATTTCGATGAGGTTTTTGCTCCTGTGGCTCGTCTGGAGACTATTAGGCTACTCATCAGTTTGGCTGCAACAAATGGATGGGAGGTGCACCACCTTGACGTTAAAACAGCGTTTTTGAATGGAGATCTTCAAGAAACAGTCTATGTACGCCAACCTGAAGGTTTTGAAATCAAAGGAAGTGAAGGAAAAGTCTATGGACTCCACAAAGCCCTATACGGTTTAAAACAAGCACCTAGAGCTTGGAACCACAAGCTGAATAGTACACTTCAAGATCTCAAGTTCAAAAGATGCAACAAGGAGCCGTCTGTTTACAGGAAAAGTATTGATGGAGGTCTTCTAATAGTTGCAGTGTACGTTGATGACCTCTTTGTCACAGGAAAAAATCAGAAATTCATTGCTGAGTTTAAAGGGGAGATGGCATCGAGGTTTGATATGAGTGATCTTGGAAAACTCACCTATTATTTGGGAATGGAGGTATGTCAACATGCTGGTGGAATTACGCTACAACAGGAACGTTATGCACTCAAGATTCTAGAAGACAACGGGATGGAAAAGTGTAACATGACGCATACACCTATGGAGTTTGGTCTGAAACTATGCAGAGCTGAGGAAGAGAGGGATATTGATGCTACGACATATAGGAGAAGTGTGGGATGTCTCAGGTACTTACTACACACAAGACCAGACTTGTCCTTTTGTGTAGGAGTTTTGAGTCGCTATATGCAGAGACCCAAGGTATCACATGGAGCTGCGATGAAACAATGTTTAAGAAGCACAGCTGGTCATATCTTTTATTTTGGTAAGAGTTTGATCACTTGGAGTTCAAGTAAACAAGAAACAGTCGCATTGTCTTCATGTGAAGCCGAGTTTATGGCATGAACAGAGGCTGCAAGACAAGCTATATGGCTTCATGATTTGCTTAGTGAGGTGATGGAACAACCGTGTGAGAGTGTTGAGATTCGGATAGACAACCAATCAGCAATTTCGTTGACAAAGAATCCGGTTTTTCACGGTAGGAGTAAACACATACATTCAAGGTTCCATTTCATTAGGGAATGCGTAGAAAGAGGTCAAATTGTCGTGCAACATGTTCCTGGAGATAAACAGAAAGCAGACATCCTAACTAAGGCTTTGGGAAGAATCAAATTCCAAGAAATGAGGGAGCTCATCGGTATGCAAGAGTTGGCATCAAAGGATTTCAAGCTTAAAGGGGAGAGTGATGAGATAAGCTTGAAATAATATGAGAATCAAGTTGGATATATCCTAACCGAGTTATGGATTAGGAATAAAGGAAAAGTCTTAGGAGTTTTAGGAGTTATCTAAAAGCATCCTTATCTATTGTGGTTTAGGACTTTACCTAATATATATATGGAGATACTGATGTGTGGTAGAACATATGAGTTTGATGTGCTTTAGTTTTTGAGTGAGTTTTCTGAGGCAATAAAGAAGAGTGATTTCTTTAAGAACAAGTTTTGTTTTTTCGATTCTTTGAGTTCTACAATACAGAGTTCAGAAACCCCCTGGGCTAGCTAGGGGCTATGTCCCTGGTACAAAAGAAGGATGGTTATTATATGTGATTCGAGTGATGTATATGGAATTACTTGGGGGTCAAGCTTGATGTATATAAAATAACTACGAATTAAAGTAGCCTCGTTAACAGCTTTATCATTTATGGGTTAGCAAAAAATGAGACTATAATGAACCATATATGGAGCTTAAAAGAAATTAAATAAAATATGAAAACAATTGTTAATTACAAAAAATGGTATAAACAAGGAAATGTTTTCGTACACTAAACTACAATAACTTTCATTGTAGACATTTTAATTTTTTTTTTGTTCTAGCTTTGGGCAGCGCTTTGGAGATAGAACACTGCACCAGACTCCTTCGTTACACTATGATCAGTGAGTTTGTTTAACTTTGGGTTTGGGTTGAGAGGGAGTCTCTTTGAGGGATTGTACCCCGAAGTTCCTTAGAGAGACGGTGGGGGTTGGGGATTAGGGGTTCACTTAGGGTGCGGCGAGCGGTGCTGTTTCCGACGTGAAGAGATCCAAAATTGAATCACGACCGTACTCTGAGTTTGTTTTTGATTGCTCCTTGGTTTTAGTTTTGATGTTTACTTTCTCACTATAACGTGGTTATGTGGTTTGATCTTTGATTTGAGAATACGCTATTGCTACAAATTAAAATTTTGTTTCTTATTATTTCTTCATTAAAAGAGATGATTCATCTTTTGGAAACTCACGATATCTCTATTGTCATCGGAGATACAAAGATCATACAGATTCTGCACTTTTCTTCTTATCATTGTTCTCTGTGATGCCTCAATGTACCATTTATTGCTTAGGTTCACCTTCTTTGTAGCTTTCAGTCCACTTAAAGTAATTATGGATTTTTTGTGGAACTTGACTACTACAGAAGAAGAGCCTATTGGTTGCATCTTACACATAGATAAGTAGTCTCTTCTCTTTATCTTATTTGCTACTACTTATCATAAGTCTTTTTGTCGATACTATTACAAACATCAGGAAAACTATATACATAACAATATTAGAAATAATATAGAACACGAAAAAACCACATCTCAAACTAAATATTACCAAACAACTAACACACGATCCCACACAACATAAGTTACAAATCATAATATCAAACTAAGCGCAACACAAACATGGAACATCACTCATAACTAAGATTTTTAGTTAAGATCCTCATTGAAATCTTTGTTTGTGGAAAAGTGGGATTTTGAGCCACACCAACAAACTTCAACTAGACTCTCAATTCTTCTTCACTAGTTCCATGTTATGCAACGCAAGCTAAGTTTTCATCATGTCCCTTTTATCATCAAAACATCATTTAATTACTATATAACTAATAACCAAAAAAATTCACAAAATAGAATTGAAAACACTAGCTACTAACCCTGAAAACATAGCGCACAAACAAACACAATACAAAACACAAACTCAAATTTCAAACTTTGAACAAACTCATTACTTAGAGCACCACACAAATACACACCACAAAACATTATGAAAGAAAAAAGTTTCATGTAAACCATCCAGGTTCAAATCCTATGGATACCAGCCACACTTCTTTTTTTTTTCTTCTAGTCTCTATTATGCTAAGATCGGTTGTGCTTGTGATTTAATATTATGTACTAGAATAAGACCTGCGCCTTACATGGAGTGAGTTTAAAATTACATTTTTAAAATGATAAAGATTTCTATATGTACACACATATATATATATATATATATATTTATATTTATATATGTTTGTAACTTATATGTAAAGTTTATCAATAAAATTGACATTATCTAACATGCATTATAAATTAGAAAAACAAACTGGTTAACTAGAAGGATACGGCTGGATATTTTCAGAAATTTCATAAAATATTTGTCAAATTTGAAAGATATGGCATTAATATTTTGGAAGTTATCTCTGACCATGAAATTAACCTGTTGAAAAAAACTCAATTTAAAAGATATGTCATCTTTTTGAAAAAATTTCAAACTTACCTTTTTCGTATGCTTTTTTAGTTGAAAATTTATGAAAAGTTATCAAATTTATATGTATCAAACATGTAAATAATTATGTTAAATTTATAAGGACCAGTACATAATTTTACTGTTTTAGAGATAGGACCCATTTTGATCATAAACGCCGATCTTCATTATCTTTTTGGAAGTAAACTTAGAACTTGTCATATTCCTTACTGAAAACATGACATCATATATGCTAAATTTATATTGCAAGTTTCTTGACTCCATTGATATTGACGGATATATCTTTTTATAAACTGGCCGATTTTGACTATTTTTGTGAAAATAATTTTAGATATAGTCACGCTCATATGAGCATATGAAAATCTTAGCTTGTTCTAAAATCATCATTATTGGGATCATATATCATGCTGAAAATTGATAATACTTCTTTGTTATTTTATTAATCTATACCGAAAAATTGTATGAATATTTTTGTGTAGAAGCTATATAAGAAATTCTTCTTCTGCAGGTTACAAAATAATATACAACCTTTAAAGTTTAAATTAAAAATAATATACAATCTTAAAAGTTTAAAGTAACGATGGATTTATAAGTTCTATTCGTTGAAGATAGTATGAAGTTATATTTAGATGTTATTGTGAATGGAGTTTTTTCTATAATTTTGGCTGATTATTTTTGTTACAAATAGATCTTTGCTTTTCATGTTCGTTTTGTATGTTAACCTTAATTTATTTCTCTTTGAACATGTAGCAAAAGATCTTTAATTAATTTATTCATCTACATCTTAGAATATGTTTATAAATATGTTTATTTTGATAATTATGAACTGGAGTATTTCTTAGATTAATTAATCGTGTTGGTCATTTAATTTGTTTTTTAGATGTTAATCTCATCTGTTATTGTAACTGATATTTAAATATCTTTATACATACATAATCCACTCTCCATGGCAAGCAGCAGAGACTTGAATATGAAGGATCCTGTTGTTGAAGACTGGGATTCAAATTTCCAGTTTGGTTTCAACCAAGGCACACAGGAGACTAGAGAGCACTTTTCGTCTTTTCAAGGAGCGATATGAAGGTGTGAAGGCAAAACATGCGGAACAGGTAGAGGTTGAGAAGCTCAATGCAAAGATTGAGGTCATTGTCCATGTCGAGAAGGTTTTTGGACAGATTAAAGAGAAAGAAAGGCTTGAAGAAAAACTGATCCTTGCAAAAGAAATGATGGCTCAGGTGAAAGTGCCATTATATCCAGATTGGTGCAAGTTGGGTGAAGCTTGGTTGTATGACTGATCTCTCTTCTTCATAAATAACAAACCTTGGCATTTTTTTTATGTGTCTTAAAATTTTGGATGTAATGTTGCTCTATTTTGAACCTAATCTTATGTTATATAATTTCGTTTCAGTTTCATTTGCTATATAGTTTTAGATTGTGTTCTGAATTTTAATTAGCCTTGCAAATCATCATAATATATTTTGATGATAAATTCGTTTAGGCATAGCATTTGATATATTGATATTGATGACACGAATAGATTTATGAAAATAAATGGTATCTAATTGTTTAACAATTCTGAAATCATATTTCAGAATCAAATTATGTTTTAAAGATTTATATATATTGTGTAGGATCATATTTAATTTGTAAAATATTTAATATGATCATAAATCTATACATTTTGGAACAAATACATTTTTAAAACATGATAATCATTAACGATTTTTGGGCTGAAAACATATTTAATTCGGCCCAATAATGACAATATATCTATACTTTTTCATATTATAACAAAACACTATTAATGCTAAGCCCATTTTTTTTGCTTCAGACCCAAATAGTTTTTGATAATTTTATACAGATATCATTATAATTCTTTATTCTACAATTTAGTTAGTAATAATTAAAATTATCTATGCAAAACAAATTTAACATTCTATTTGATATTTGGTGGTTATTTTATTATATTACATCAAATATATACAAATAAATAGTTTCCAGTCTTTGTCGAGTAGAATATTTCAAGGTCCATTTACGTTTTAATGAACTTAAACATATCTAAAACTCTCTGTTAATAAACTTAATGTTCGTTCTCACAATACAAATATCTATAAAAATCGTATTAAGTTTAAAAGTCATGTGAATATATATATCATCAAAACATATCCCGCGCTTCCAAAACGTGAATCAAAATCTAGTAATTGTTTATTTGTGTATTAAATCATATTAATGGCACAATTAGTAATTTCTCTAGGATAATTTTTTTTTAAAAGTTGAGGAGAGATATCATGTCTGACACCTCAACAAAATAATATAAAAAATAAATATAGTATAATTTAAAGGTTTTTTTTTTTATTCTCCCTTAATAATAAAGGATGAACTAGAGTTTCACCCGCACATCCGTACGGGTATATTTTTATTTTATAAATATCTAACTAAAACTTTTAAATATATAATTTATATTTTAGTTTTAATTATAATTATATCTAAAAACGAAATAAAGAAATACTTATTTAATAAAAAAAATATTTAAATTTTTTGGTAAGATCTTGTTAGATTTTTTTCAAAAGATTTTGTTATATTTAAATTTATTTATTATAATATTTGTATTAATTATTAAGATATTTTGAAAATAATATATATTTGACTGGTTAATATAACAATTAAATATGTCAAATTAAATAATAAATAATTAGATAATTAATGACATGGTCCAACATGAATTCTAAATAGTAGATAAATTTGGTATTTCTCTTTTAATAGAAAAACTAGATTTTGACCCGCGCTTTCAAAGCGCGGCTTTATGTTTGATGCAAACTTTATATAATCGCATTCACTATACATGTAGAATGTGGGACAAATTTGTTTAGTTCATTAATTTGATCAAACATAGTATTTTCAAAAATGCAGGATAATCTTTCGGTGAAAATTTTATATGACCAAATTTTTGTTTTATATAAAGTAGACATGCGCATAAAATCCATAGCTCGACGTCTAAACTCAATCTAAACAAAAAAATTTGGATCCGTAACCGGTCAACATTTTAAATATAACAGAATGAGTTTTTTAGGGTGGTACAAAATATATCCGAATCAAAGTGTTATTAGCCAGACCCGAACAAATAACCAAAAAAATCGAAAAACCTAGAAAAAATCTGAATCGATCTGAATATCCAAATCAATCACAAATATAAATATTTGAAACATAAATATCTAGTTTAAATATTCATTTATATATTTATTTTAAAATGACATTTAAAATTAATTATCTAATTTTTAATAAGTACTTTATTATCCATTTCTATAAAAATAACTATCTTTTTTTGTTTTGGTTATAGATTTTAGATTTTCAAACCAATATAACTCGAATCCGAACGATATATGGTTACTTTATTGATTTTTGGATGTGTACAAATTAGAACCAAACCCGGCGTGTTATATTTGAATCTGATCCATACTTACAAACATGCCTACTTACAAATTATGACACCCATGATGTGATATAATTAGTTTTGATTCAAAATATTGGACCCGTATTTCAATAGGTACTTGAACTCCCAAGCATAACTTAAATTATGTTTTATATTTCTTAAATTAATTTTCTCTATGTTAAATATTTTGTCTGTTTATTGGAATAACCGATAAAATTATAATCATAAAAATATCAATAATAGACATATAATTAAATATTGATAGTAGCTATTATTAATATTTATATTATAAAAAACTATATATATAAACGATTTTAAAACTTTATCTATGATAAATATATTATTATGTATTGGTTGAGGTTTGAAGAATTTATTTATTATTATTTTTTGTATCAGTTACATATAATTAAATATTATTTTTATATCCTAATGTTTTAATTTAGATATTTATAATAAATTATAAAATTATTTCTTTTTTAATATCTTATGTTAGTATTTTGTTATTCTATAAATGTAATTCATTTAGTTTATAATTTATAAAGTAGATGAATTTATATTATAATTATTATTTTGTGTAATTTTTAGTTACAAATATGAAATATTTATATATAAATGTTATAGAAGGTTATATCTTATTCTATAAATAAAAATGAGTTAATATTAATTTGTAATTTAACTTAATATTATTTTACCTTTTTATTATAAAAATAATATTAAAACAATAAATCTTTATTTTTAAAATAAAATATATTAAAAATATTGTTTAAATGTAATCTGAAAAAGTAGTTAAGAGTATCTTTTTGATATCTTATTTTGAATATATTTAAATATTATATTAATATTATGTGTTTATTTAATAATAACTAAGTTTGTGTATGTAACATAACATGAAATTAAATAAATGTATTGTTTTAACTAGACTACTTGCAAATAGATAAAATGTGCTTCTGTTTTAATAGTATTGACTAGATTTTGACCATCGCTTTCAAAGCACAGCTTTATGTTTGATGCAAATTTTATATAATCTAAGTTTTTATATATGTAGAATATGAGATAGACTTGTTTAATTAATTAATTTCATCAAAGATAGTATTTTTAAAAATGAAGGTTAATCTTTCAGTGAAAATTTTATATGACCACATTTTTGTTTTATATAAAGTAGACATGTGCATAAAATCCATAACTCGACGTCTAAACTCAATCTAAACAAAAAAAAATTGTATCCGTAACGGTCAAAAATCTAAAATATATCAGAATGAGTTTTGTAGAGTGGTACAAATATATTTGAATCAAACTATTATTAGCTAGACCCGAATGAATAACCAAAAAAACGAAAACCCTGGAAAAAATATGAATCGATTTGAATGTCCAAATTAATTATAAATATAAATATTTGAAACATAAATATCTAGTTTAACTATTCAGTTCTATATTTATTTAAAATTATATATAAAATTAATTATCTAAATTTTAAATAAGTACTTTAATATCCAATTCTATAAAAATAACTATCTTTTTTTTTGTTATTGTTTTAGATTTTAGATTTTCAAACCAATATATCCCGAATTCGAACGATATATGGTTACTTTATTGGTTTTAGGATGTGTACAAATTAGAACCAAACCCGACGTGTTATATTTGAATCTGATCCATACTTACCAACATGCCTACTTACAAATTATGATACCCATGATGTGATATAAATTAGCTTTGATTCAAAATATCCGACCCATATTTCAATAGGTACTTGAACTCCCAAGCATAACTTAAATTATGTTTTATATTTTTTAAATTAATTTTATTTTTGTTAAATATTTTTTCTGTTTATTGGAACAATCCGTAAAATTATAATCATAAAAATATCAATAATAACATGTTTCCTCATATAATTGAATATTAATAGTAGCTACTATTAATATTTATTTTATAAAAAGTTGTATATATATAAACGATATTAATACTTTATCTATGATAATTATATTTTTATGTATTGGCGGAGGTTTGAAAAATTTGTTTATTATTATTTTGTGTATCAGTTACATATAATTAAATATTATACTTTTATATCCTAATGTTTTTATTTAGATATGTATATTAAAATATAAAATTATTTCTTTTTAAGTATCTTATGGTAGTATTTTGTTATTCTGTAAATGTAATTCATTTAGTTTATAATTTATAAAGAAGATTAATTTATATTATAATTATAATTTTGTGTAATTTTTAGTTACAAATATGAAATATTTATATGTAAATTTTATAGAAGGTTATTTCTTATTCTATAAACCAAAATGAGTTAATATTTATTTGTAATTTAATTTAATATTATTTTCCGTTTTTATTATTAAAATTATATTAAAACAATAAATGTTTATTTTTAAAATAAAAATATATTAAAGATATTGTTAAAATGTAATCTGAAAAAATAGTTAAGAGTATCTTTTTGATATCTTATTTTGAATATATTTAATATTATATTAATATTATGTGTATATTTAATAATAACTAAGTTTGTTGTATGTAACATAACATAAAGTTAAATGTAATGTTTTGAGATAGACTACTTGCAAGTAGATATAAAGTGATTCTCTTTTAATCCCCTATATATCATTTTCCAAGTGATTTTTTAAAATTTGCTTAGGTGTCATCTCTACAAAGTTTCTCACAAAATAATGATGACATAGCCTCCTTGCAAATATGACATGGCTCATGAAAAAGATGACATGGTTAATTAACATTTTCATTAAAAATTAAAACCCTAACATTATTTATTGCTAGGAGATATATATATATATATATGTCTATGAATGTCTATGAATCTTATACAAAACCTAGCACATCGTCTTCTACAAAACGCAGAACATC